TTGTAGTTTAACCAACAAACAAAGCTGAAACTAATTTTATGGTCTGTTAAAACACTTCTGCATTTACTGTTGCTGCTCTTATCATGTGTAGAAAAAAAGAATATAATCCCCAAACTTTAAAGAACTTCTCAACTTCTTCCTCAGCTGATTCCCAGAATGCAAAGCAGGCCTCGGATGTGATGAATCACATGGTAGGGAAACACTCCCAAATGCCCAGATGTCATTTCTGAAGAGAGCTTTGTTCAAAACACTCACAATACACAAAAGCTGGAATAGACAAGATTGTCAGCATTTCATCTGCTGTGAACAAACCCAAACTCTCTGAGGCTTTCAGGATTTTAGGAAATTAATATCAGCTTCAGAAAACATCCCTACACAACACTTAATTCAACAAAGAGTCTGCCATGTGATCAACAGGACACTGGGAAGGGGGGGGGAACAACACACAGATGGAGGGAAGAGGCTTCACAATCATCTGAAAGAGCTGCTGAGGATTAGGTCACTGAGGGGACAAAATAACCCCTGAGCCTGGACAGTTGTGGTACACAGAAATAATATTAATAATCTCTATTTTATTTATCTGCATTAACCCACCTGCCTGTCTCCCAAAGAAGCAACAGGCTGTTGGACCACAACAGCTTCTAAAGCTGGTTAGGAAACAACCAGAACTGCACTAGGAATTCCCAGAAAGAGGCTGTGATACTGTATTGTGAGTTTTTACCTTTTCCACCACGCAGTTTGTCCTTTCCAGTACTCAACCACTGTGTTTGGTGCCATCTTCAAAACCAGATCTGCTTTAATGTTCAAGATCCTGAAGCCAAGACATTTGTATCTCACAAATGAGAGTCCGTTAATTTCCAGGTCAGCCCAGATCCAACGTGTCACTGACTAATGAACATGAGACCTCTTAACTCCTAATCCTGGCTGACAGTAATTTCCTGTGACCTCAGAACAAGGCACTTCCTCCCTCCCTGGATTTCTGCCTTCGTTTTCTGAGAAACACACACTCATCTCCCAGTATGCCACAGATTAGTTCATAGGGTAAAAATACAATGTAATAGGAAATATACTCACTTTTTTCCTAAAAACTGAGAAGGAAAGTCCACAGGCTTTGCAGACAATGTTAGTGCTGGCTGCAGCTGGAGCTGGATATGCTGAGAAGTCTGTACTTGGTGTAAACCTGAATGGGCCAGCACCTCCCCCAAACCCAGCCTGCTGGCCACGCACTGCTCCCGTCCCCATGACTTCATTCAGCAATCCACAGCAGGAAGCCCACATGGAAGTAGCTCCCGCCTGAAAACATCAAGAAGCAAGAGCAGCAAATTAATATCTGAAGGCCCCCATCAGATGTGACTTTGCTACTGAGGAGCTGCTTCACTCCATCTGTCGTCATCCCAGAAGCATGTGGTGTGAATTCCCAGAGCACCAGGAATCCTGTGACAGCCCCACGAGCTCCACTCCAGCTGAAATCCAAAGTGGGAAGGATTTGCCTCTGAGAGGCCAACGCAGGCACAGGGAGCTCACATTCACAACTCCTTTTCCAGCAGAATTCCCCACGAGAAGAGTCAGGAATTTGAGGAGGTGACACAGAGCAAGGAAGGAGGAGACTGACAGGCTGTAGTAGGTGAGGGGCAAAACCCGAGAGGCAGAAACAGCAATTTCTCATGATTAACGCAGAGCTGTCCCTGCAGGATCTGCTCCAGAACTAATCCAGCTCCTGTATGACTCACAACAAAACTCTCTCTAAAAAAACATTCCTGGGTTTTAAACTTGAAAACCAATCTTCCTTAGAAGCTAATTACAGTCTGGTTTCACTGAGAGGCAAACGCTCTTCAAGACTTCCCTGAAGCCCCTTGTTTTGTTGCCTTACAAAAATGCCTAACAAGAACTAAAACAACTTTAAATGACCTTATTGTCTCTTGACTGGATTTCAGTTTTGAGTCACACAGTCTTAAAACACTACAAAAAACCCTAGACACATAAAAAAAGTGCTACTTTTTATCCTTGAAAGCCTTTAGTGCTGGATTCTCTATCAAAAGTGCATATTCTACTCAGAGGTGGAATTTGGACTCCAAGCTGTTCAGGTCACATGTTTAATCACTGTCAGGTGGCTCCCTGAAACCTGCTCAAAAAAAAAGGAGGGGTAAACAATCACAGGTTCTCTCTGGAAGGAAGCTGAGGGGTACAACTTCCTATGAACTTAACTATTTTTTCATACTTTTTTCCCTTAACAGTTGTTCTCTTTTTCATTCCAGAGCAGCCTCTTTTTGTTTCCCCAAAGCACGAAGACAAAAAATAATTGCTTTTGAGACTTGTAATTCTTGCTGTGAAGCCCAAATCAACCAGAACAGGCACGTCAGCTCAGTGACGTGGTGCTGTAACTCCTGTAGTAATTAATTTCTATATGAAATCCAATCCTCAAACTAAGGCTTGTTTTCTACTTCTCAATAATAAAAACAGAAAACAGATCAATATTAATTTTTCCTGGATAAAACAAATTACACATAATTATCCTAGTTTATTAGGCAAGAGGAATTAACTTTCCCGAAACAGAACCTGAAAACCAATGACTTAATCCATCAGAGCTCCGAGTTTTAAAACTTGGGACTTTTGAAAAATACTTTTTCTCACCTTAAGAGAAAGCCACATACAAATACCAGAAAAATAAAACAATGAACCAAAAGAGTCTGTCAAAATTCAACTCATTTCCTTACACAACTGTGGTCATTTTGGGGGGTCAAGGCAGCAGCAGAACACTCAGTGACTAAAGGGACATGAGATATTTGCTACCACAGCCCCTGCCTGAGGGTTTCACACCTTCTTAGACCTATTTTATTCCAGAGCCTGTAACAACTGCTCAGACATCACTGTCAACACTAAATAAATATATTTTTAGGAACTTTTCGTTACCCACTTTGGACGCATGACTGTTGTTAGTATGAAACAGAGAATCTCTTTATCTTACTGCCAACCACTCAGTCATTTTAAGGTTTAAGATAGGGCTACCTGGGCAGCATTAATTTTCTCCTTAACCTATCTACACCACCTGTGGATTCCTCCTATGCCCTCGGGTCATTAACTGATAATTGAATTACAGAGTCTAGACTCTTCAGATTGCTCTGCAAAAGAAACCAGACCGTGCTGAAAGGCACCAACACAACAAAAACGAGACACGGTAAAACAAAAACTCCCTCCCTTGAGAATCAGTTAAAACGCTGCCAACTTCTGCACCAAACCCACCACTCTCCACTTCCATATTCTCTCCTCGCCAGCTGCCATCGAGTATCCTCTCTCTCCGCACGTTATGTGCGTCCTACAGGGGCAAAACACTGCGTTGCCACTTCTCTGCGGCTGTTTTTGGCTGTCAGGGTGTTGTTACCTGAGGATTCCAGCTGAGAAAGGCAGCTGAGCCGGGAGGGCGAGCGCTGTCCCCCCACACACCTGTGCAAGCGGGGGGTGCTACGAGAGCAGCGGGACAGCAGCGGAAGGGATGCATTTTTAATTATTTTTATCTGAAACTTCCTCTTTTGACTCTCCCTTAGACCAAGCAAAGCTCTTCCCCCTG